GTTTCAATACTACATAATAATTCTAATGACAGGAAACATTTTAAACTGACGTACGCCTACTAAGTATAGTTTAATTTAGAGGAACGAGTTTTTATCGATGATAGAAAGCTAAGCACCTTCTTATCGCTGTCAAAGTGACAAAAACGTCACTATTATAATATACACATTTTTTTATATGGGAGTTAATTTATCATAATAATAATTATTATATCAAAGCACAATTTAAATCTTATTCAGAAATTCGTCGTTTCAAATTAATATAGTCTACTATTCTCGATGGGAATTTTCTTTCATTTATGTCTCGAAATTTTGTTTGTACAACATAATCTCTAGACAATAATGAAACATTTTCCATTTCGTATTCGTATTGTAATATACTATTACTGATGTTTTTAACATCTACTGTGATATTTTTCATTTCTCTTTGTTGCTAAATATAATTTTAATCTAAAAATATTTCCCCGCGCATAAAAAACAGTTACAAAAAAAAACAAAACAATAGTGAAGTATTCAACCGCGCCAAACAAATATGTTTAGATTGTTGCATTCTACATTACCTGCTGCTTTATTATATTTTTTCCTATCAAGACAAAAAGATATTAAAACGTCAAGAAACAAATATCACAAACAGAAGGAATAAAAAAACATTTCTTTGTGTTCCATTTTTTTCCCAATCCGGATATCCGGGTACGGCAGACCAGATCTACTATTTTTTCGTATCCGGATACAGTTTTTAACCCGGGTGTGAACGTTGCACTCATGACACCAGCGCTAAACTGTCACTGCATGTTTTAATTGACTGTGTTTAGAACCGTCGGTCCCGCGTTATGTAATTCAAGGTACTATTGTCGGAGTTCACTTTTTACTCAGCTAGCGTTGCGGTAATAAATCATTTTCGCGGATAAGTCACAGATACATGCTGAATCGTTTGAAGGTTACTTCGCCTACCATTCTTAGTTAAGACGCCGAAATAATTAGTGCATAACTCGGAGGTATTTTTATGGCTGTATCGGGTAATCGCAGATTAATTATTTGTATGCGGCGTTTATAAGTCAAGCGTGGTTATGACATATATGTCGAAAACAATCAAATTTCAATGAAAAATTAACTCTAGTTTGTGTATTTTTTATAGAGAAATAATAACTGTATTTATGCTTGTTTGATAGTACAGAAATGCAGCGGTTTCAATGCGAATTCTCTTGCTTGGCGAGTACACACTCTGGTCATATACTATGCCCTGCAATTGACTAGGGTGCGTGTTCAATCGCCTACGGGGTCGATTCCAGTGATATGCCTGTTGCGTGGCACCCCATATCGGCTAGCAACGTCAGCCTGGCTGGTATGGCTGTTTCGGTTAATGGAAACATCGGTGATTTTCTGGATTTCCTGGAGATATCGGAGCAAGTTCATGTTTGTGAAGCTACGCGCGAAATCTTCGAAACATCCACGATTTTTTTTTTCGGTTTACATAGCTGTTACGAATGCTGTACATGTCTGTTGTGGGTGTGGGTAAAATCGAGCCAAGAATGTTGATTTTGAGCGGATTGACGAGTGTATTGGAAACATAGGCGATTACATTCTACCACAAAACATTTTGGACATTTGTGCATTCCAAGAATCAATCATCAGGATACCAGACACTGTAATTTATGAAAATAATTCATATGGACGTCCTGAGGGTGCCGTAAATGTATTCAGAAGCATTTTTAGTGGTATATATTTATCTAGTGAAGAAGCCTACTACTATACCAAGATCTTTATAAACATTGACATTGGATAAGTCTCTAAAAATGAACATTAACTGGTGCAAAAAAACTGTAAAATAAAATGACTTTTTATCCAGACATCATACCATCTTTTATTGTAAGAGATTGTATTAGTGTTTTTAGTTAAACCTTTTTTGAGTTATATAATTTCGCCCTGAAAGGCAACACTGATTATTGAATTGCATGTTTCCTGAGTGGACGTCCGAACACTCTCTACGCTGGCTCTACAAGGAGTCCTGTAGCGAAGTCAGCGTTATAGTCGAAAAAATATTATTTTGGGAAAACGTCTCTCTTTGAATTGTGGGCTTCTGCAGTTGTGGATCTGTATATATTTTGATTAATATTAACCCTATGTGTTTGCTTTAGTTCGAGTTTCGAAATATTTGGACTAGAAAAAATTCGAAAGTATAGTGAAATTTCGCTATTAACGATATCTGGGCAATGAGGAACATGATCGGCATCGCCTGTCATGACCGTGAGTTTTGAAGGCAATCGGGGCTTCGTAGGGAGGTTTTCCGGAATTTTTGGAAACATGCGTGCATTTCCACTTTTGCGGGATTTGTGCCCCGTTGATAGCTTTTTGAGGAATTATTGAATTCTTTTCGAAACATGAATGAATTTTAAACACTCGTACTGCGTACTACAACAATTTCGTTTAACCGATTGCAAATGTTGAAAATAAATTCTAATATTATTATAACATATCCAAAAAAAACCGAAAATAATAAAATGTCTTTATTATTAAGACATTTTTTTTACTTATACGAACACCTGAAACATACACGCAAAATTCCTACGTTTTTATATATTCACGTAAGCAAATTTTGTTAATTTAAATAACTAGAACATGCCTATAAATACACAACTACACATTTTCAAATTTGCATCGACTTGAAATTTTAGGTGTCAAGGCAAGCATTCAGGAAATCGAGACAAGGCCGATGCGAACAGAATTTCTTTTCATGCTTCCATTTGACAACTACCTTCTCCTAACAATGAAAATTTCTAAATTGTGTGTCTCTGTTAAATGCGTAACCCTGAAAAAAAAAATTGAATGTCTAGACATGAAGGAAGTAAAAAAATTGGTGTAAGTATCCATCCTTATGGCAACAGGGAAGCGGTGGGCAGATTTACGTCGAAATTTGACATTGATTGCTTCATTGTCAGGTGCTACCGGTATTTTATCACGTGGTTCTCGAAGAATTCAAATTAAATGTCGGATATATTACGATAAATTTTGAATAATGTTACTGATTATAAATGTTGAAATACATATATCCCAATAAATAAGTATAAAAAAAACATTTATTCAATACTAAAATAAAAATAATAGAATTTTACAAAATATATCATAGAATTTAGTGAAACAAAGTTTGAGATGTCAAATTATAAACAACTAATTTTAAATTGATGGTAAAATATTACCTATATACCTACACATGAAAAAAAATTGTCAATTTTTCGGTTTTCTAAAGAATTACATATACTATAAGGTTTTAAATTAGTGTTTTGGTTGTTCACTGCCATGATTTAATTGTAAACAATTAGAAGCTAGAGAAAATTACTGTCAACGTGACGTATAGCGAAGACGATTTTGAGATCACAAGCCTAAGCTTACTTGATTGCAGTTATGATTTTTTAAGAATCATTGATATATTGCCATATAGATCGGTTTTCCACAAAAACTTACTTTCCTTCTATTTTAGTAATACTAAGTGAATTATACTGCAAACATAAATATCTGAATTAAAATATTAAATGCTTTTTTTATTACTAAAGTGAATATAATGTGCTCTTTCTTATGTTTAATAAGGATCATTAATAAACTGTCATAGACATCAGCATTTCCCCAAAAACTTATTTTCATTCTATTTTAGTAATACTAAGTGAATTGTACTGCAAAAATAAAAATTTTAATTTAAAAATGAAATGCATTTTTTATTACTAAAGTGCAAGGAATGTGTTTTTTTTATGTTTTAATAAGAATCATTGATAAACTGCCATAGACATCACTTTTCTACAAAAACTTACTTTCCTTCTATTTTAGTAATACTAAGTGAATTGTGTTGCAAAGGTAAATATTTGAATTCAAAAATTAAATGTCTCATTTATTACTAAAGTGAAAGGAACGTGTTGTTTCTTATGTTTCATTAAGAACCATTTTGTTTTACTAAAGATTGAAACATTTTTTATCAAAGTTTAGGTATCCCCGTACTTATGAAAAATTAAAATGAAAGTTTAAGAAGAAAAAAATATGTCATGCACCACAAAATAGTGTCTACCTGTCAAGCCTACTTTATTTTGGCGAAATAATTTTCAAATCAAATTTTTAAAATAAATTTTGGTTGTAAAATTTTCTTACCGAATCCCCCACGTCCTTGAATTAATGTCAGGAAATTTTTCCTCAATCGCACATTTTTCTAGAAAATTTTCCCTTGTCTGCGATTCGGGAAAATTTTCAAAAAATGCGTTCCTTCGGAAAAATTTCCGGAAATAATTCAAGCCCTAGGGAGACTATAGGTAAGAGAAAATTTCTAGTGTTATCTTTTGATTATAAAGCTGCAGAATGACATAATTCTTTTAAGTATGCAAGTTTTTAGNCGTTTAACCGATTGCAAATGTTGAAAATAAATTCTAATATTATTATAACATATCCAAAAAAAACCGAAAATAATAAAATGTCTTTATTATTAAGACATTTTTTTTACTTATACGAACACCTGAAACATACACGCAAAATTTCTACGTTTTTATATATTCACGTAAGCAAATTTTGTTAATTTAAATAACTAGAACATGCCTATAAATACACAACTACACATTTTCAAATTTGCATCGACTAGGGAGACTATAGGTAAGAGAAAATTTCTAGTGTTATCTTTTGATTATAAAGCTGCAGAATGACATAATTCTTTTAAGTATGCAAGTTTTTAGCAAGTCAAATTTTGCTGTAAAGTTGAGTTTGATAAATTTTTTGTTGATAGTACAAAGCAGCATTTCTATAGGGAAATTAATTTTTTGCAGTGTATATTTAATTAGTTTAGTATTGACAATTGTAAATGTATATTATGGCATAAAAAAGCATGTCAACAGCAAAATAACTGTCATATAACATAATCATGTTGCTTCAAGACTTTATTTCCTACAAACGGTGATTTAGATACAATTTCATTCGAAATCGTAGCAAAATGCTTCGTTGTAGAACAATCTTCTATTAATCTTTCCTTGTTACAGACGAATGAAGAAGTTGGAGAAATATTTCAAGACGAAGAGAACCAAGCTGCTATTTTACTCAGAAAAGAAGCAGACGGTATAGTGGTGGTGAGTAAACAGACAATTATGATTTGTACACATTTTTTGAACTTCTGCGGTAGGTCTCAGTATTCTATCTAGGTCGTACTAGTATTGCCAACTAAACTTAAATGAATTAAACTTTTCATTTTTCCTTATTTATTAAAAAACAAGAAATCACAATTTAACGTGAAAAGAAATGATTTTATTTGTTTTATTATTTTTCACTCAAATATGAATTGCAGAATAAAAGAACATTGAACTTCTGTTACAACGCTAGAAAGTGGCATCTACATAGGTACTAGCACTTCAAATATGACTTCAATCTGACAACTTGAAAGAAATTTAAAAATTGTATAAAATCGGATCGCTCTAGGCGTTCGTATTATTTTAACTCCAAGAATCTATTATAGTTTCAGGTATATATTCATTCCATGTTAAAATAAATAGCTTATAGCACTGCACGACCTACAAAATATTAATACACCGCTTTGTGCCACACAAACATGTTATAGTGTTAAAAGGTCAAGTTTTTGGATGTATCATAAGAGAAAAAGAAAAACATAACACATGTAAACCAGCAATTTCAGTCCGTTGACGAAACTTTGATCTCATTTAGCCGATTTTGTTGACCTTGGAAGCGTTGATCAGGACCGCAATCAGATTTTTTTGTGCACAGGAAAGCGTATTAATATTCGCAATAGAGATATAATTTAAAAATACTAAAATTATTAATTTGAAGAATTATTATGAGTGCTATTACTACTTCGCAATTTTTTTCTAATTACTTCAGGTAGTTTATTCGCTATTTGTTAGTGGCAACGTGTTATACAGGGTGTTTATTAATTATTTGTACAAACTTTAAAGGGTGAATCTTTGACTAATTTTAAGATAAAAAGTTCAGATAAACATGGGTCAGCAACGGCTTGATTCTTGATACAGAGCGCCCAAAAAAAATTTTTGTTTAATATTTTAATTATATTTTTATTCAATAACATGACAATTTGACGAAATTCGGGAAACTGATGACGAGAAACTCTAATATTTATTTAGTTTTTTGTTTAATGTTAGAAGGCCATATTTGAAATAATTCCCGTCTTTTTTTTTCTCTTTTGGCATTTTACTTCACTTTCCCCCCCAACTAATAGTTGTTAATAAGTTGTTATGTTACTATTTATAAATAGTTATTTAAATATAAATGGCGAATACAATTTACAGCAGACGTAAAAAATAAAGGTATCAACGCGACACCAACTACAATAAGGTTCCGTAAATAACTGAGCAGTTCAAAACGCGAGTCAGCTGGGAACGCCACCGACCCTCGAGCCAGCTCTGTTAGACTCTGCACGTGCACTAAGCCTAATTATAACCTTAATGAGATTCTAGAATGAAGGGTTCCAAATCTTTCTATTGATTGGCATCATTGCATTTTACATAAAAATGTTAAAAAATTTATCAAAAATTGACAGAATTATTTTTATATCATATTCCTCAAAATTGATTAATTAAAAATAGTATAACTGTAGCTGGCGTATTTTTTGCAGACAAAAAGCAATAATAGTAAATAAATAAACTCTTGTGGAGAAAATATGAACGGAAATGCTTTTTTGTGAAAACTATTATGCAATTTATTGACTGAATGGTTAGAAAACGTTTTATTTTTAAATGTGTTACAAATATCAGTAAAATATTTTATTTATTATCATGTATAGGTGCCTATATTTCTTTTAATATTAATATGTAGATTATTTATTTATTTATGTTTTGAGAGAATCCATACAAACTGTTGTAAGAAATATAATCTCATTTAACCGTTTACACTCATTCTGAATGTTGTCAAACAAGATTTCGAAAATGTAAAGTTTTTAAATACGTTTCTGTCTCTGCAGATCGAAAACGATGCGCAGTCTGCTGTGCGCGTCCGACCATTTCCGCTCATCTGAATTTGCTGGTTTACATATGCTCTGCAATATATCAAGCAATATAAAAAAATGAGAATAACATAACATGTTCCAATTGTTTTTGTAATGTATTCAAACGAATTAGTACAGTTGACAATCTATTATTACGTTGTGCTATTTTAAAAGGAGCCACTAACGGAAGTTCGGCATGCAAATGAAAACAATTATCTAATGTAAATATATGTGGGACTCAAAAAATAATCTCATTTTAAATTAATTACCGTGTAGTAGCATTCCTTCGGCTACCAAGGCCGTGATTTTTTAACAGATCGTTCATTCTTATTTTTTTCCGCGGGCCGTATAGGATACTGTTAAGTTATTACGGATTTCGCGTTTTTTTTACGGTCGCAAAATATATCCGCGCCAAGGTCGGTGCCAGAAAAAAGATCGTTATGTCACAAACGAAAGAAGTTGAAGAGCGGGTTTCTAATTTCTAGACATTTCTTCATCTAATAAATTTGTGGGTCGGCTGACGTCTAGCACCCGAAAATACATATTAATGTTTCCAAAGAGACATAAATTTCGTGTTTTATAATATCCGTTCGATCCAAGATTTTTTTTCACCAGCCAATAATTTAACCACGTGAATACGTTTCAGTTTTTATTGTTTTAGTTTATAGGAATTATTCTTTTATTACTTCCAGGCTATAAGTTATGTCTATTTACAATTTTACATTAACTAGTATATATGTACATATACAGCGTGTTACAAGTTTGACTGCCATTACTTCAGTATAAGATGTAGAGTGCGCGCCATTATTCCATGGCTAGAAATTGGCCTCAATGATTTGGGATCGAGGGGGATTATCCCTCTTTATCCTGCCTCATCTCGTGTAGGCCTGGACAGCCTTCGTAGGTGGTTCCCATCCGTCGTCTACCCCGACCGCAAATGCGGCCGGTGTAGGCGCTTTGTGGGACCTCCTTTTGTCCTGGCTGGGCCCCGCCGGCTAGGGCCCTTTCTTCTGGCGCTCTTCTTGCTTCGCCGGCTCGTCTGTGTAAACCCCGGGGGTGGTGTCATATTTATGTGTAGTATGGTTGCTTATTTTAAATGGAACACCCTATATATTATTGCAATTTTGGATTGTACGTGTTTTTTTAGGTGGACTTTTATGAAGTTTTCTTATTCCTAAAATTAACCGTTTTCGAGATAATTAATTTTTTTCAAAAAAATGGAGAGAAACAGTAACTACCTTCAAACCATGTGTATTTTATAGTAAGAAAGATAAAGCAACAATATTTATAAGGGGGGATAGCTAGACCCCTAAGCTTCCCATCCATACTTTCAAAGTGGCTTAATTGCATATAGGGTGCTAGAAATTTAATGCCGAGTTTAATTAACTTCAAACCTTCATAAGTCGGTTTTTTTAAATTGAACACTCTGTATGTTTTTTTGTATTCTGATACACAATTTTATTCTTTTTTGAGCGGTATCAGAGTTCCCTATACCTATCTCTTCTAGTTTTTAAGTTATCTATCACCTAAAATCATGTAATTTATTGCGAGGATAGCTGTGGAATTTCTAACAAAATTTCAAAACAAACAACTAAACTGTCAATTTGTTGTCAGCGTCTTGCAGTGACAGTTTAATTTAGTGTTTATAAGAAATGGAAAACAATACATACATACAAAAGAACCAGAAAGGACAATCTACGGAAACTTGGTACACCGTAGTAATTCCTATAAAACTTCATTTCTGACCTACTAAATAATTTTTATCTCAACATAGGCGTAGGTTAGGGTTTCATTAAAAAATCGATAATTTTGACTCATTTAAAATAGTGTCAAGAACAGATATTTCTGAACTAATTAGAAGCGAAGTCTAGCGGCTACAAATAAATCATGAAATTAAATTCTTATAGTTAATGCAGTAGTAGATGATGCGAAAGTTCAGTATTTATTCTCATCAAATCAACAGTGACGTTTTCACTTTTTGCTTCTAGCATAAAGCTAATAAAGTTTGATATGGCTCAGCCATATCGCTCTCTTCTTCAGAAGAAACTCTGACACTGAAAAAAAATCAGACTTTTTCTTCGATAAGTATGAGAATTTTAAACATTTTACGCTTTAAAATAGTAACAATTTTTTAATAACACTTTAAGGATTTGCGTACCATTAAAAATACGTTCTTACATACCCCTATCTACGCCTATGGCGAAATAAAAAAATATTTGATAGATCAAAAATGTATTAAGTTTATGTTTGAGGATAACATTTGACGACTGCGATCGTGCAGTTTACTATAAAAACTTCTCGTCGATTACAAACAAATTAGCAATACCACTTTGGGGGGGCCTAGAAAACGTAATTTGGGGCATGCCCGATTATTTCTGTAAAAGGTTTTTTAATACACATTGCAACACGATTAACCGGCAACGGTAAGAAAGGAAGTGAACTGAAACACTTGAAGCAGAAATGTCAAAACGCGGAGGACTAGTTAATGGTAATAATCGTAGATTGGATAATTCTCAGACATCTTAATTATCGTTTTCACTTTTATTGCCAAATGCGATCGGAGTTTCGTCTGGAATGTTCAAAAATTGCAACGTATGTATTTTTTTCCACTTTATTATAAAGGTATTAACCTCATTCAAATAAATTAAAAGAAAAAATCCTTAAAACGTCTGATCAAAATGTTCTTCAATACCAGAAGTCTAGACAGCTCCACAAACAAGATTCCTGACTGTTGATATTGCAAGAAACATCTACTCTTTGGACTACATACCCCAATTAGCATTGAATTTTACCAACAATATCTAGTAGATAATCATCCAAAATAAAAACAAATGACATTTATCTAAATATAATTAATATACAAGAACACATACCTGATATATTGAAATTGTTAAATAATGTAAATTTGCAAATTAGAAAAACGGGAAAAAATTGTACTTTTGTTAAAACATAGGGTATGAAGGGTTTACCGCTATGTTAGTAAATATAAATACAGGGTGATTCACAACTTATCCAAAAAAATTTGGGAATAGATGTAGCATGAGAAATGGAGTCAATATTGTAAAAAGAAAATTTTGTAAAATCCTTATAGTTTCTGAGAAAAAAATTATTGAAGTT